AACTCAGGCCCTTGCACTTGCCAGGGAAGTGCTTATTCCACTGAGCCATCTCCCCGGCCCCTTGGCTGTTGGTTTGTAACAGATGGCTTTTATCAGGTAGAGGCAAAGACCATCTATTCTGATTTTCTATAGTTTTTTATTATGAATAATTGTTGGACTTGTCAAAAGCTTTTCCTATATCTGTTGAGATGATTGTGTGATTTTTTTGCCTTTGACTCTGTTGATGTGGTTTATTATGCGTATGATTTGTGTATATTGAACCATCCCTGAATTCCTGGAATAAATCCCACTTGGTCTTTTTTTTTGTGTGTGTGTATTTTTAGGGACGGGTCTACAGGGTGTTCACTACAGGGTCTCAGTACTAGATCAAACTCATAGTGAGCTGCCTGCTTCCAGCCTCCCAAGAGCTTGGATTACAGGCACACACCATCATACCCGGTCTCAAGTGCTGTCTCAGTGTGCCTTGGGGGTGGGGCCTGCAGGCAGGACTGGGGATTGAATCCTTGGCCCCTGTGCCTGCTTGCAAGTGTTTTAATCCACTGAGCTATTTGACTGGCCCCCTACTTGGTCTTGGTGTATAATCTTCTTGATGATTTGTTGCATTCTCTTTGCTAGCATCTTACTGAGGATTTTCGCATCTATGTTCTTGAGGGAGATTGGCCTGTAATTGTCTTTTTTGCTTGGATCTTTCTCTGGTATCAGAGTAATAGTTGCCTCTAGGAATCAGTTTGGGAGAATTGCTTTCATTTCAATTTGCAGAGTTGGCATTAAATCTTCTCTGAATTTCATACAGAATTCAGTTGTGAATCCATCAGGACCTGTATGTTACTTTGTTGACAATTTTTTTATTACATTTTCAATTTCAATGACTGGTAACATATAATTCAGAATTTTTATATCTTCTTGAGTCAGCATTGCACACTTGAATGTATCTAGGAATCTGTCCATCTCTTCCATATTTTTCATCCTGTGAAAGCAAAGATTTGGAAGTAGTTATTGATGAGTTTTAATTTCTATGGTGAATGTAGTGATTTCATCTTTTTCATTCCTTGCTGCATGAATTTGGATTCTTTATCCTCTTTTTTTCATATGATTGGTTAGGGATTTATTGATTTTATTTATTCTTTCAAAGCATCCAGTCTTTGATTCCTTATTTTCTGTATTGTTTTCTTGGTCTCCATTACATGTATTTTTGCTCTCATCTTTAAAATTCCTTGCCTTCTTTGGGATTTCTTAGTTTTTTGCCCAATTTTGCCTTTTTTTGCCTAATCTGTGTCTTTGTGTTAGTAAGTTGTAAAAGTGCCCCATTGTTATAGTGTTATTGCTCATTTGATTTTTCCTATCTGTTAAAATTTGTTTTATATAGTTGATTGCTCCTATAGTGGGTGTGCATATATCTATGATTGTTATTTCTTCCTTTTGCAGTTTTCCCCTAACAAATATGTAGTGACCTATTTTATCTCTTTTAAATTTGAAATTCACATTGTAAGCAACCAGAACAGCCACTGTTTTCTGTGTTCCAGTTACATGGAGAATTGTTTTCTATCCTTTGACCTTCTGTGTATGAATTTATTTTTGAGTTAAATGTGTTTGCTTTTAAAAAAAATAAAGAGTAATGATTTTTAAAAAGAGTATAAGTTATAATTAAAAGAGAAAAATTATAAGTGATATAAATGTTCACTTAAAAAAGTAATACAAATTTCACAGTATTTGTTGTAATACATAGTGTTGTCTTCCAACCAGTTATTCATATTATCAGATATATGCATGCAAAGTTGGAAGAAGAAAGAAAAAAAGAAATGTTTAAGAAATTAAAAAGAGAATAAGTCCATACAATTTTTTTTAAAAAAAGGAGATGAAACAAATTAAAGCATTAATGGCTCCTTTCCACACACCAGCAGAAATGCATAGTACAGTTGTCCAAAGCATCCTGCTTACATACATCAATATATCTCTTTCCCCCGCTCCCTGTCCTATCCTTCTCAACTCAGTAACTCTTTCCTTTTGAATAAGTTCACTCCCCTTCATTGGTGTCTATTGCAGCCTTCAGATTCCATTTTTCTCTTTCAGGTTCTCACGTTAAAGAGATAATATGTTGTACAGAATATATTGTTGCATTTTGTTTCTTAATATACTCTGCCATTCTGCTTCTTTGGATTGGTGAATTGAGGACATTTACATTGATTATTATAACATATGCATTGGCTTATATTTTCCCCTCTGTTTAACTGCTTGTTTCTTTCTAGAATATTTGTAAATATTTCCTCCAAATAAGGCTTGAATTTCACAGCAAGTCAGTGCTGCACACAAGAGAAATCTTCAGCCCTTTGACCAATTCCACCATGAACTTGGAAGGTCAAGGTGTTGATCTTCTGGGTGGCAATCATTTGCAGTTCAGAAAAAATCTGTAGTGATAATTCCATAGTGGAAGATTCATATTTGACTAATGTGGTATATTGTAAGCTATCCTATTGCAGCAAAAGGAGCAGCTGTTAATATCGTTTACACTTACAGTGACCATAATTCCATAACAGTTAAACACCAGCACAAAAAGTTTTATGAAATACCAGCTAAAACAAATGACAAAAGACATGCTCAGAATGGTGTCAATTGCATGCCAGACCTCAAAACTTGTTTGCCCAATATATAAGTAGATGTGAAACCAGAAAGCAGAAAACAAGGCAAAGATCTGGAATGCCACAAAGTTAACCTCATCCAGCAGCTCGCTGAGCAGGTGCAGGCTGATGGAGGCCTCTGTGAG